CGGGACACTCTTGTGGGACACTCTTGTGGGACACTCCTGTGGGACACTCATTTGGGACACTCTTGTGGGACACTCTTGTGGGACACTCTTGTGGGACACTCTTGCAGGACACTCTTGTGGGACACTCTTGTGGGACACTCTTGTGGGACACTCTTGTAGGAAACTCTTGTGGGACACTCTTGTAGGACACTCTTGTGGGACACTCTTGTAGGGCACTCTTGTCGGACACTCTTGTGGGGCACTCTTGTAGGAAACTCTTGTGGGACACTCTTGTGGGACACTCCTGTAGGACACTCTTGTGGGATACTCTTGTGGGACACTCTTGTGGGACACTCTTGTGGGACACTCTTGTAGGACACTTTTGTGGGACACTGTTGCGGGACACTCTTGTGGGACACTCTTAAGGGACACTCTTGTGAGACACTCTTGCGGGACACTGTTGCGGGACACTCTTGTGGGACACTCCTGTGGAAAACTCATGTGGGACACTCTTGCGGGACACTCTTGTGGGACACTCTTGTGGGACACTCTTAAGGGAGACTCTTGTGAGACACTCTTGCGGGACACTGTTGCGGGACACTCTTGTAGGACACTCTTGTGGGACGCTCTTAAGGGACACTCTTGTGAGACACTCTTGCGGGACACTGTTGCGGGACACTCTTGTAGGACACTCCTGTGCGGCACTCATTTGGGACACTCTTGCGGGACACTCTTGTGGGACACTCTTGTAGGACACTCTTGTGGGACACTCTTGTGGGACACTCTTATAGGACACTCTTGTAGGCAACTCTTGTGGGATACTCTTGTAGGACACTCTTGTGGGACACTCTTGTAGGACACTCTTGTGGGACACTCTTGTAGGGCACTCTTGCGGGACACTCTTGTGGGACACTCTTACAGGACACTCTTGTGGGACACTCTTAACTCTTGTGAGACACTCTTGTGGGACACGGTTGCGGGACACTCTTGTGGGACACTCTTGTGAGACACTCTTACGGGACACTATTGTAGGACACTCTTGTGGGACACTCTTGTAGGACACTCTTGTGGGACACTCTTACGGGACACTCTTGTTGCACACTCTTGTAGGACACTCTTGTGGGTCACTCTTATGGGACACTCTTGTCGGACACTCTTGTGGGACGCTCTTGTGGGACACTCTTGTGGGACACTCATACGGGACACTCTTGCGGGACACTCTTGTAGGATTGTAGGACACTCTTGTGGGACATGCGGGACACTCTTGTGGGACACTCATACGGGACACTCTTGTGGGACACTCTTGTGGGACACTGTTGCGGGACACTCTTGTGGGACACTCTTGTGGGACACTCTTGTGGGACACTCTTGTAGGAAAGTCTTGTGGGATACTCTTGTAGGACACTCTTGTAGGAAAGTCTTGTAGGGCACTCTTGTGGGACACTCCTGTAGGGCACACTCTTTGTACGAGACTTCCTCCAAAAGTCACGCTGCGAGGCTGCAAGACGAGCGTTTCGTACCAGACTTCCTCCAAAAGTCACGCGTCAAGTCTCCAAAACGAGCGCTTCGTACGAGACTTCCTCCAAAAGTCACGCGTCAAGTCTCCAAAACGGGCGTTTCGTACGAGACTTCCTCCAAAAGTCAAAAACGAGCGTTTCGTACGCGACTTCCTCCAAAACTCACATGTCAAAGTCTGCAAAACGAGGATTTCGTACGAGACTTCCTCCAAAAGTCCAGCGGCAACACCCAGCGGAGCATACACATCACGCAGCCCTGCCAAGCAGTTTCGCGAGTCCAGCCCCTCCAAACAACACCCGTTCACGCGCCAATCCCAATGTGACAGCGACATTCACCTCTACCACAACTCACGACCTCACGATTCCCTGCGCCTGCCACGAATCTTTCCGCATCCACACGTCTAACGCGCACAAAGTACTGCGCCTGCCACGACAGGTCACCTCCGTCACACGTCGCGACCTCACGATTTCCTGCGCCTACCACAAGAATCGCACTTCCACACATCAAAAGCCGCACAAAGTACTGCGCCTGCCACGAAAAGTGACAATATCATCTCATGTGAGCTTCAACAAAATTTGCACCACACCACACGTTTGGAATGATTTCGACCCGTTCTGAGCATACTCCCATCCACCAAAATCGGCATTTCAGCCGAGACTTGTCACGAAAACAGAGCTTCGATGCCACACCCGGAAACGCAAATCCTAATGGCACGGCGACATCCAACACCCCAAAAACACGACTCTCCAAACGCTAATCCCAATGGAACTGCGCAGCCATCTGCAGATCTCACCAAGCGCTGGCCTGTGCAGCGAGACGCATCACGTTGCTTGCGCGACACGTCTTTTTCATGCAAATCACATGGGAATAGCGGCGCAAACTGACACGTGACACATCCATGAATAGTCACTTGCAAAAGCTTCCCCCAATGGCAGCGCCTTAGCGCTCTACCGCGAACGGTTGCGGACGGTTGCGAACGGTTGCGGACGGTTGCGGACGGTTGCGGACGGTTGCGAACTTAGAAACAACGGGTCACGAACAAGGCTCTACCCCCAGACCCCCAAGAGTTAAACGAGAACCCTTCGCTACGCATTCGGGAAAAAGAAAACGACTACTCCGTCAGGATCCCTGTGACTCCAAGGGTTACACGCACACGCCTCCCCGAGGGGAGGCAAAAAACTAAGGTTGAGGCGAGTGTGCACGGGTGCGCGCAACCAAGGACAAAAAGATGAAGACATGAAAAGAGGACAAGACAGGACAAAGGTGTACGTGGTTGCGATGAAAAGGGAACCAAATGCACAGGGACAAAAGGTGACCCAAACTCATTATCAGAACCTGGCGACCTGAAACCTAAATGTACAGTGGATGTGCGCGTAGAGACTAAGGCCCGGACCGATGTGAACGCAAGAGAAACAGGGAGTGAGATGACAGGACATGAAGCAAGGAAAGACATGAAAGAAAAGAGGAGAAAAAGGAGTATGTGAAGGGCAAAAGGATGAAAAGGGAAACCAAATGAAGGGGACGGGAACGGATGAAACCAAACCTCATTACAACGACCTAGGAAAACCTGCCTTGTTAAAATGTACATGCTGTGTGTGCACCTAAGCTTACGACGGCTCCAATGAGCCTTGAACAAACTTATCTACTCTGAACCCACTATATGAAATTATGTTCACATGCGATGCACTTGGTCGCTCTGATCTCTATCAGGTCAACCTCACCGCGGTGCGGAAGATCTTAAAGAAGCTTTTTGGCGAACATGGACGAGAACGGCAGATGACAAGGGAGTGGATCAGATGGCAAGCTACGAAGCACCCCGCGACGCATGATGTTTGGACATGCATTTCAAGAAAAACATATGTGTACACATCATGGTCTTGTAATGTCCCTGAGGAACACCAATCATTGTCAACATATGTTTGTAGACAGTCGATGAGGCAAAGGGGCCGACAGGGATGGTGAATCATCAATCAAAAGGCACATAACCAGTTCCGTTGCCCACATCAAGAGGGATCTCTCAGGTTGTAAACCGTTACCACATTGAAAGTAGAGTGGGTGGAGGAGTGTGGAGAGTCATCGTTGTGGCAATTCCCGTGATTTGTAGGTCCCTTCTTCTTCAAACCCAAGCCCTCCTGGAGGGTGTGTGACCATGTGTGAACAAGAATCCGCTGTGGTTTATCAGGTGGTTCCCCCAGAAACACTGGAATCAATAGGTTTAGGTCATCGTTTCGGCTTCGCCCTCCAATTCTGTACCCATGAGATACCTGAGACGCCCCACCCTCACCTAACGTTCGTACTCGAGGTTCGACAAGAAGATCCCACCGGAGTTCCGAATGCAAAAGGCTTCTGACTACAAGGCCGCAGAAATACTGGGGAGATCTCTTGACCCGACTGAGTTCATTGAGTCTTTGGTTGATTTTCATGGATTCTCAGCACTAAGACGACGTACAGAAATGGGGAGGCAATTGGAAAGGGACGGGAAAAGCCGCAGTGGGTTTGGAGAGGTTTGGTACGGGAAACACTGGATTGAAGTTGGTGTATATCCTAGGCTTTCAACCACTACCATTGATTTAGTGGGTTTGACCGAAGAATCATTGTTGTACTAAGGACTTTAGAGTCAACTACGTCTTCTAAAATGGTCTTGGACGGCTAGGGATGTATATTAGGCATGTCTCCCCAGAGCATTTTTTGAGACTCTACCTGTGGTGTAAATAGCCATGTTCCGTGAAATGGTGAAAGGTAGTTCAACGATGTCGAACGTCCAACCCAATTCGACCAAAAAAGAACGGGTTCTTTTGCAGCAGGTGATGTTAACAACTCAAGAACTGCAAGATCCTTTCCTGGGAAAAAGGGGGAGCTTCTGAACTCAGGTGCCTGTGGGTCAAAACCAGGATACTTTTGTCAAACTGCTTGGGAGGTCGTTCGCTACATGGTGGACTGGTCAGGCACCAGGTTATGACCCAATTTGAGATCATGTTTCTTCACCACCAAATTCGGTTTTCCCTCAACATCGGGCACCTCAACAACCAACTTTCCAGCGCATGCTGGATGGCTTTGGCGCAAAGTGGGGGTATCTGAAGGTAGGATGGATGGAATAGCCTTGTGAGTGAATTGGAGCAATCTTTGCAGGCCTTTCAGAATCTCACCGAACACATGCTTCTTTTTTTGCCGGATACTGTTGGTGATTCTGAGACACTTCTTCTCATGGAAGCAGAACAGCCTGAATCGGTTATGTGTTTGGAGTATGAACCTTACAGGTGCTTTGCTCTGTTTTGGGATGTGATGTGGGTGACTTGGGAAGCCTATGGCTCTTCAGCCTTGAAGTTGTGGACCTTGGGGACCACGGGCCAAGTGGTGCCCCAAGCAAACTCCTTCGTTTTTTGGGACTCCAATTTCTAGTCCAACATCCCAAAGAATATCCTTTTTGAACATCCAGAACGACGCCACACTGACGACGCAACGCCGCTGGCGGAGGTGCACCACGAGCTCTTCACGCTGGGGGAACCCAGTTCGATCGAACCGCAGCCCAGCGGCGTCCGGGGGTGGTCTAGAAGCATGTCTTTTACATAAGCCAACAAATCAATAAGTACTTGTAGTATATTTTGTATATATAATTACATTTTTCATGACAAACAACCATAATAATAACAATAAAAATATCAAAACATATATAATGTATATAAACATAATTCCCCACATCTCTGTGTGGGGTTCTAGTTTTTTGGCTGCCACCCCGCTCGCCGCGGCGATCCGCCGCCGCCGCGGCTACCTGTCCCACGCACCATCATCCTCTCAAAGCATCCTCTCAACATCTACATCGCTGTCACACGCATCTCCACATCAATCATCCTGTTCACATGTACATAGCACCACCCTCACACACATACAGCTCCACATAATCCTCTTCACCTCTCCCACTCACATCATCTCAACAGATCACCATCCTCATCCTCTTCACCTTTCCCACTCATATCATCTCAACAGATCACCATCCACACCAACACCAGCAGCTTCTCCAAGCGTGTGCATCTTCACATACTCCTCTGCGCTTCGGTGTGTGTTGTCTGGCACGTGCAAGGCGCAGTACCCAGAGCACTCTCCAGAGCCTCCAGAAGGGGCTGCGGCGCGCGTTGTCGCCGCTGGTGCCGCTGGCTGTCCTCGCTGTGGCAGGCTGCCGCTGGCTGCCCTCCGCGTGGGAGGCGCACTCTCCAGAGGCTCCGGAAGGGGCTGCGGCGCGCGTTGTCGCGGCTGGTGCCGCTGGCTCCGCGTGGCAGGCGCAGTATCCAGAGCCTCCAGAAGGGGCTACGGCGCGCGTTGTCGTCGCTGGTGCCGCTGCGTTGTCGCCGCTGGTGCCACTGGCTGCCCTCGCTATGGCAGGCGCACTCTCCACAGGCTCCGGAAGGGGCTGCGGCGCGCGTTGTCGCCGCTGGTGCCGCTGGCTGCCCGCTGGCTGCCCTCGCACTCTCCTGAGCCTCCAGAAGGGGCTGTGGCGCGTGTTGTCGCCGCTGGTGCCGCTGGCTGCCCTCCGCGTGGCAGGCGCAGTACCCAGAGCCTCCAGAAGGGGCTGCGGCGCGCGTTGTCGCCGCTGGTGCCGCTTGCTGCCCTCCGTGTGGCAGGCGCAGTACCCAGAGCCCTCAGAAGGGGCTGCGGCGCGCGTTGTCGCCGCTGGTGCCGCTTGTCTCCCACTCACCATCATCCTCTTCACATCTACATATCACCACCCTCACACACATACAGCTCCACATCATCCTCTTCACCTCTCCCACTCACATCATCTCAACAGATCACCATCCACACCAACACTATCAGCTTCTCCAAGCGTGTGCATCTTCACATACTCCTCATGCAAATGAGCATCTTCACATACTCCTCATGCAAATGAGCATCTTGGAGGGTCTGGCTTCTTGCTTTACATCCTGCTAACACTGCCCGCCGTGGTCGGGATAAGACCACTTGATAGCTTTGATGGTCGTTTCGAGTGTGTTACGTTTTGAAGGTCTCATGCGGATCTGATCGCAAAATCCAGAGCCTCCAAACTTCTCTCTCCGCCTCCTTCTCTCTCTCTCTCGTCCCTCTCATCCTTGTTCATCACATCATCAGACACTTTATCACACACCCACACACACACACGCACGCCATCTTACCACACACACACCTCCTCCCTCCCCTCCTTCTCATCCTCGTCCATCACATCATCACTTATACTACACGTCTTAGCACAACCGCCTCATATACCTTCTCTCCTCACACTTCGTTCTTGACTTTTCATCTCACTACTCCGTCTCCCATGTGATGTTCATATACATTTGAAATTTGTAAAACTTATCATGTGGGGTTAGCCGGTCCTTTTATTTATACTTGTATCCACACAGTTCTTTTAGTTTCATAGAAGCTTCGGCTGGGGACTTAACCGGGTCCCACTCATGAAGGGCCCGTTGGCTTGGAGGGCCGTCAGCGGAATGCGCTCCAAGGGGTTCGGACTTCGGCCTGTCCAACCCTTGACCCAAAGAAGAAAAGAACCACCCAATGCACATCTACTGGGGTTCTTCGGGTCCACCGTCCGAAGGTTTGCCGCACCTTTTCCATGCCTCCCAGGTCTGCCTTGCAGCAGGTGCGGAAGGTTGGTCAGGAACGGACGTTGGCTCACTATCCGGTGAGTGCCAGCAGCCAGTTGGTCAGAATGCAGCCCAATAGTTCATGTCTTCCGTTACTGTGTGTTTGTGGAACCTTGTTGAACTCACAGGCATGTGATAGGCTTTGCAAGGGTATGATTTTGTGTGTGTGTGGCTTGGAGATGCAGGTGATTCATGGTGATTCATGGCTTGGATGATCCTGAACAATAAGGTGCTTCGTTACTGGCTGGGACCCCTACTGATCAGTTGAGTGGTGCTCGGTCTTAATATTGTTTGGGCTGTCACTGGCTTCGTGGAATGCTCAAAGTACTCTTTGGGTGATCAGAGACTTGCAAGAGGCTTGTGTTCCATTCCATACCTCTCCATACCTCTCCTCTTTCAGTGCCCTCAGGCCCTCTTGCCCTTTTTTCAAGAAAACCGCTCTGTAAGTCTGTAGACCTTTCGTTCGTTTGTTGTCTGAATAAACCTTCCTCCCTTCTGTCTCGACCTTTCATTCTTTCGACCGGGTCACTTGACCCTGTCGAGACCGGGTCTCTCCTCAGCACCCCTTCAGGTCCTGAAGACCGCCGTGCAGATGCAGCGACTGGTCACCGAGACAGTCGCCGGGGCACGCAGAGGGCGCACCGGTGGAGACTCTGGCGGTGGTGAGCTCCACTTCGTGGAGTGAACAGCGTCGACGTGATGTAGAGCCATCGGCTCTTTTTCTGGGGTTTTGGGGAAGGCTCGTGGGGGAGTGGGAAGGCCGAACATCACATGCCATTCCATGCAATCAGGTTCGTGAGTTCGATATTTAGCAGCTGTTCATGTTCACAGCAGACAACGTGTCCAAGTCTATGAGTGAATCAATCGATGTAATAACAGTATGATGTACTGTATACCAGCACCTTCCAAAGGGTGTCTATAAAATAGCTCCTTGAACACTTGCAGGTTAATGGGGTGTCCCCCAAAGCCACCGAACTTGGTCCTGGTCCTGGTCTGGTCCTTCTTTTCTATCCCATGCGGTGGGCATCCAATGTGTGGCCCGAGGCGGAGAGTGTGGACTCGACGGTGCCCATCTCTCAACTTGGGCCACTTGGGCGATGGCCAACGAGCATCGCTTCCCACCGGTCGGTCATGGTGAATCAAGCGTCGCTACCGGTACCGGAGTTGAATTGGGAGTCGCTAGCTTTGTTTCTATCTTATTTAGCTAAACAAATCCGGACTGGAAGATTTGTCGATCAGGTTTGAGGATGATTTTGTTCAGGTGCTTTAAGGGTTGATGTTTTGCGGTCAATACTCCAGTCCCATGATTGGATGGCCAATGGCCTGTTACTTACACGGTACCCGGGGAGAAAACACCAACCATGGCACACCCGAGTACTCTGAGATTATTCTGCGCGTGGGGAGAAGAAACTATGTTTGTGTTTCATTTTTTCGGGGGTCAAAGATCACCTCGGCAGATTTGTAAATACAGGAAGCCCTGTGGTTGATTCAACGTCGAGCATCGTAGCATCATCGCTCCCTCCTATGTCACCAAGAGGCCCAGTGACCAGGGGTCATCTCAAAGACCAGATGGATGAACATCACCAAAGACCTGCGAACTTCTTGAATTGAAGATCCTCTCCTGTGTGTAGCAGGACATTTGCGGTCGATTCTTCTTTGATGTAGCATGATGTAGCTGATAGATGATGCTGATGGGTGTACGTTCCTATCGCCTTGAAGACTTTGGCCTGGCATCACGGCCACGGAAAGCACTCAGTTCTTTCGTTGGAGTCGTGGATAGAACCATTATAGTGGGGTCGGGGTGTGCAACAGGGACACTTGAGGGCCTTCTAGAACCGGCACACCGACTGTAAATCTCTAACGTGATGGCATGCAAAAGTGGACTGTAAATCTTGATGTGACAACATGGCTCACCCAAACCCCCAAACCCTCCCAGGATCCTCCTCTTTCCACTTCTTTTCACCTGTCGCCTACTGGGCTGAACCCCGTGGCGTTTTGCTACACTGGCAAACCTCCGGTCGCATGTGGCGGCCTCCGCGGCCGCCTTCGAGGCCGGAGACCCTCGCGGTGTTGTCCGCGGTGCAGAAGCATCACGTTTCGGCCGCTTGGCTCCGCGGGCCACCGGCGGCAGAACGGGACCCGGCCAAACGGGGCAGATCGCGGCCGAACGGGACCTGGCCGTGGGCGTGTGGCGCGCTTGGCGCTGGTGGAGATGGGCTTCTCAAAAAGTCCCCCAGAACGAAAGCCACATGTGTCATTCCGGTTTCGAAGGGCTGGTTTTAACGTGTTTGAACCTGATCTGATTTCTACATGTTTTTGAAGTGTGTGCAATTTGTGTAAGATCCGTAAAGGCCTATCAACATTGAGGTATTATATAAGTCAGTCCGATTTGGTGGATATTTCGCTGCTTGTATATAATTGGTCCTTTTGTCCTAGGGCGGTTGAAAGTCACCACTGCTGGGTAGCCCAGCACAACCCAGCCAGTCCGGAGTGAGTTGGGCACAACCAAGTTTTGGCCCTAGGGCCCTAGGGCCTAGAGTTACTGACTCCTTTCTCATCCCGTCTATCTGTACCCATATGTTGCCAGCCCCCTGGCTCCACTAGTGGATCCCCTGCCAGTTCGAGATCCAACGCTTTGGGTCGTAGCGTTTGAGGTGGATGATGTCTTCGGCTATTCCAAAGGGAAGATCGACGTCTATGCCAAGCCGATGACCACGGGGGTTTCTTGGCCGGTTGAAACACACGAAAAGAGACCCAGCCGGATCAAAAAAAAAAGCCATCTCCGATACATGGGTCGTGGCGTGGGCATGGGAGAATACGGATGATACATGGTAGATATATATGGTCGATATGGTAATATACGGTAACCTTTTGACAACCAATTTGAATCGATTTCTTTCCTTTTCTATCCTTTTCTTTTTGTTCAATCTTGATTGGATCATGGTTTCTTCCTTGGAGTCACTGTAGAATCGCAGTTGCAGACATGTGCGGGATCTTGAAACTAAGTCGGAGATGCTCTTGCCAATCTGAGAAACCATCCTGGGGCAGCAAAATGGCAATCGACGTTTGTTGCACTTCAGTTCTTCCAGTATTCATAACATCTTGAGTCATCTTGAAGCACTTGGCACTGAAACTACTTTGCAGAGTTTCTAGGCATGCGGCATGCTTTCTATCAGAATGGGCAGCCAGGATTGTTCAATTCCAACCCGTGCCATGCCGGACATTGCCGGACCACCCGGCCACATCTCCTTTTCCAAGGCACCGGCGGCTTCGCGATTGGTGTGGGCCTTGGGCAGTGGATCCGGATCCAATCTCAACCTCCAAGATCAAGATTGGAGTTGTTCTGAGGATGGACGTTCAAGAGAAGAGTGGTTCCGATCAGGTTCCACTCTTGGAGGTTCTGAGTTGTTCAAGAGAAGAGTGGTTCCTCCAAGTGATTGGAGTTCGGTCCGTCATGGTACCTCCATACGAGGCCCAAGGTGGAGTCTGGAGCCGAAATGGGTGTAGAAATAGGTGGTTCCTCACCGGCAACGATCCCCTGGAAGGAACAGACCAGTCTACCCAAGCAGCGGCAAGATCTCGGGGGTCTCCTGGTCTCCCCGTCTCCAATGCACACCCAAGTGGTCCAACATAGATGTTCAACAGTGGTCCAACATCAAAGTTCTTCTGCGCGCTGTGGGGAACTCATCTAAACACCTCTCGAAGGCAGTTGAAGACCCCAGTATTGGCCAGATTGGTGGATCTCTTCAGAGTCTCCATTACGTAGGTCACCTGACAGGTCGACGTGAGTGGTCTATTTCAGCGGAAAAACCGGACATCGAAGAACCGGATGAGCTGGATCTTCTGGCGCCAGGGGGGCATCCACGTCGTTCCGAACACGTTTGGACCCCCTGGCGCCTACATCAACGTGTTTCCAATCACCTTCAAACAGTGCAGAAGATCCGGCGGATCAACCCAGTCTTGTTCATTGATGAAACAGACCCTCTGACGAACACATCACATGGTTACGTGGATGGGAAAATGGTCCCGTAAGGAAGACTACTTTCCTCTACCAACAAGGGGTGAACTCCACTTCCATGTTAGTGAGTCAGAGTGTAATTCGAATGCTTTCAATTCTGCCTAATTTAGGTCTTTATGATAAAGGTCTGGTTTAACCGCTGAACCCTTGGTTAGACAAGATCCGCCAGTTTCTGGCTGAAGTCCTCAAAGACAACAACAGATGAAAAACGCTCCAACGTTCTTGAGCGATTCTTTTCTCAGGTGGGTGGTGAGGAAAACTCTGACCTGCGACCTGTTTCTGAATATCATATTCATATCACCTTCACACTCAAGCTGGAGCCGGCAACCTCAAACCTCGAACCCCTGCACCGCCCCCCCCCAAAAATCTCCAAGGGCTAGGGACGTTCGTTTCGCACTATGGGGGTGCGACACCTTTGGCGCCAGGAGGCAGACGACCGTCTGCCTCCTGGCGCTGATTTGGTCTTACGGGTTTTCCAAATTTTGCTCCTTGATGTTGCCTCCTGTCTTTTCAGGTTTGTGAAATTTGACCTGTGAGGTTGCCAGGAACAGTAATTTAACACGCAAAAATCAAGGTGGCTTAGACCCGGTGGTGAGAGAAACAGGATTTAGAGATGGAAGGATCAAAGTGTTTAAAAGAAAACTTTGCTTGAGTCGGCTGGTTTTTTGAGGCAGCTAGCACGGTTGGGAAGTGGAATTCTGAAGGGTTTGCCTTGAGGGTTCCAAGTGATTGATGTTCCAATCTCTGTTGTGAACCTTTTGTCGGTCCTAAATCTAAGAAAAAACGTATGTTTCTCCCTGAGTTCAAGAAATACAAATGCTTGTGTGCCTGTGTTGAATGCAGAAACAAGAACTTTGTGCAGTCGTGTCATGCCAATTTTTCAACTGGACATGCTGCTCCGGGCCGTTTGAAGAGAGAGGGCTGATAATTTTTGAAGCTGTGATCGTGTTTTTTTTCAGTGACTGCAAACCAAAAAGCATGTTCAATCACAGTTGCAGCAAATCCAATCAATAGGTTTCATTGATGGAATATTTTAGATACTACGAGCGACAACATAATTTAAATAGTAGAATCCAACAACGCATTCCATGTACGAACTCGTGCGGCTGCTCGTTCTGGGCGCGTTTGCTTCTGGACCTTCCAAGACCTTGCGAATACCAGAAAAACATTTGTCGTGGATCTTGGAATTGGGGGTGAGTGCAGAAGCGAACCTTGCCAGGCGAATGATCACGTAGTCTTTCTGTTTTTCCCGTTTGTTTAAGACCAATCCATTACATAGGCTCATTACAATGTTTTCTTCCTTTAGGTCAGCAGATTTAACAAAGGAGACGAGACCCTGCAGCAGCTAGAAAGGCTGAGTATGTCCTCACGCGCAAACTGGGTTACTTCTTGCAAACTCCACAGGCTTCTGCTCATGAGATAGCAAGTGGTGTGTATGATGTTTCCATCATCCCACAGTTTCTCTTGCACGTCCTGGACATAGAGATTTCTGACGAAGAATGGAAAAGAGTTGTTTCCCTGGCCTTACAGAGTCAGATGTGGATAGATCCTGGTGAAGAAGGAGGTGCTAGCCGCAGCTACAGTGATTGTCCGGCTTTCACAAATGCGTCGGACAGTGCTACACAAACGGCTTTGGATAGTCAATTGGACAGCTTGAGCGTTGGGGCATCAGAATCCACTGCCCGCCAATCCCAGATATCGGATCTGCAGTCGCAGTTGGAAGAAGCAGAAAGAGCGAACTCAGAATCCAATCAGCACTTAAAGAGTTTCTATTTTTTAGAAAGGAGAAACTATCCAAGCCAAGCATAGTACAACCAAGATTAAACAAATTGCGGCAGCCAATGGAACATTATGCCCGCTAGCGTCATTCACAGTCACATGTTTTTTAGACCGCGAACCCGAACCCTGCTTCCAAACACGCACACACACATAAATATGTGTATATATATATTATATTTATTTTTTATATTTATACTAATACGTGAGTCAAATTGATTTAGTTACAAACGTTGTTTCATCATGTTTCAACACTGGAACGCTCCCAGGACAGTTCGAGGCGGTTGGAACGAGAACAAAACATGTGCACAAGCTGCGTCGGGTGAACAAGGCGTTGAGATCCAAAGTTCATCGGTTGCAGCATGCTCTCCAAAGGACGCAAGCCAAGCTTGTTGAGAAAGAGAATGCTGAAGACGATTATGCTTGTTTGGAAATTCAACGGGCACGGAAAGGGAAAGGGAAGCATCTAACATTGCAAGGTTCCTTCGCCCTCGCCATCCGCCGCAATCTATCCAACATAGCAACAGCTGACATAGGCGCAGTTTTGCTACAGGACATTTCCAGATACACCGTGACTCGTTCAGAGTGTCGAGCAGGGAATTCTTTGGTAGCTTCAGCCAGACTATGGTACAACTATGTCTATGGCGAGATCACAACTGGCGGAAATGACTCTTTCAGCTTGGTTGTGAACTGTTTCAAGGAGGATGCAACAAACAGCAACATCCTCAAGGGAGCCAAATTAGCAGGGTTGATTCTCCGGTCCGGTTTTTTGAAAGAATCAGAATCAATGGCGGACAATGGGTTCCAGAGCAGCTGCGCCGATTGGCGCTTTGAGGACTGGTTTGAAGAAATTGTGCGTGTTGCTGATGTCCTGCCCGTTGATGGCAGTACATCCGAGGCCACTGTCTCGCAGACTCTCAAACAGTTAGAATGTCTCGGGTGCATTTCCTGGAAGAAAGTGCAGTCTGACACGGCCTTGCAGCGGTGGCTTGTATGTTGTCGTTATGTTTTTTGTCTATTTATTTTTTCGTTGTCTAGTTGTCAGATCTTCTCACCTCTCTTTGCAAAGCATTGTAGAATTGTAGAGTATTAGAGTATCAATCAGTATCGGAACCTGGGAGACACCAAATAATCTACTGTCTGAATAGAGGAACAAATCCACCATCAACCTTGTCCAATCCAATCCACTTGAAGACTTCGAGGGCTCGTCGTCCCTGTCGCTGTAGTGACTTCCCAGGAAGAACACAGTTCATATCTATTGCGCTACCACGGATGCTGGTTCATCAGAGATGGGTGCTCGGAAGGTCATTCGTGCAGACACGATGGATGACCCCAATTGCATTTTCATCGAGTGCACGTGCCTCGAGCACGCACAGCATCTGGTCGCCCTTTCTGTTTTGAAGGCTGCGGATAGGTGCCTCAAAGGATTTCGAGAATGGACTTACTACTCATCGTTAGCGACCCTGGTGAACGTGTGCCGAGATGTCAGCAAACAGTTGTTTAGAGCCTGGACTGAAGCATATGGCGCAGAATCAGCCAAGAAGTGTGTGCGGACGCTGTTTCCCAAGGCATGTTCTGGTCGCTGGTCTGGTTGCGATCGGCCTGAACAGCGTCTTCTTCAATGTGGGAAAGACATGCTTGCTCCCATTTTGGCCTCCGTCCTCAAAACCAAAATGTCTAAGAGTGATGACGGTGACACGAAATCAAAGTCGCATCCCTCAATCAATGACATTGCAATTGAGGAAACCAAAGCATATGCTGAAAAGATGGGGAGATGGAGAAAACGCAGTCTTAGCACTGTACAAGACACATTGTTCTGGCGTGTTATGGAGGTCATGCACACCAGCCGAAAGCCTCTAACCCACTTG